TCTTGACACTTGGATGGGTCCGTTTTGGAATGGCGAGACAAACAAACCAGCTTGCAAAACCCAAATCGACAAGCCTTGGCCTCCCTTACAATGTTGGTTTCTTGGACAATCTGGAACGAGCGTAACGCCCGGTTCTTCCGTTGCAAGAGTGCACCGCGTCCGGTCCTCCTTCGTGCTATCATCGATGGCGCCAAGCTTTGGATTCTCACGGGTGCTAAAAAGCTGAGGTGTATTGTTGTGCGTGAGTAGTTGCCATGGTGTGCGTGTGGTCACTTGTAACATCCTAAAACTCTTCTCTCTTGTTTAATGAATGAGGCAAATCTTTTGTCTCCGTTTCAAGAAAAAAAGAGCAACTATTTTTTTCTTTTCGTTTTTCTTCTTCCTGTTCTTCTTCTTCTTCTTCCACAAATACTTGTCTTAACTTAGCATAAGATAGCTGACCACACATGCCATGTGGTACAACTATATTTTTTAACACAGTACAAACGCAAACGCTCATATACACGCGCATACGCTCACCTCTATGCACGCACACACGCACACCCTATCCTTATGAGCACCTCCGAAGGACTGAGCCGGCATATCATCTTGAAATTTACGAAGTCACCATAGGCACCTCGTCATCGACGGGAACATCTCCTCCCACTGAATGCGCATCGCCGAAAATCCTAAAAATAATCCAAAAATAAATACGAGCACCAGAACTTGAACTTTAGTGAGCTATGGATACCACACCCACTCTAACCATCAAACCAGGGGTTGGTTCGAAAAAAAAAGAGGTGCGCGTGTGGGTGCAAAGCGTCGGTCGGTCGCTCGTCGTGTCGTGTGAATTGTCACTGCTAGGCTGTATCCGGCAACATAAACTGCACGTAATTAATTAGGCTGCCGTTTGGGAATCTAGTAAATGCTAGACGTGCACGCATGGAGTTTATAATATCCTATTAACAGAAGATGGCCCGCCCCTAATTCTTGGTGCTCGGCCCACACACACACACACAGCGGCAGATGCTTCATCAGGTTCCCCGAAAAAAAAGGAAAAAAGTGCTTAATCAATAGCATAGCAACGCGCATGTTTGAGCTGCATACGTGCATGGCTGTTAGGACGGATCTAACTAAAACGGTACGGGATCACGCCATTGTTCGGTGGAGTGACCGATAGAGACAGTGCAAGTGCATGCCCGTTATATTACTACTGTAGTATGTCACAGTGCATCACTTGATACAAACCGCGAAGATGCAAACACAGCGACACATGGCATTGCCAAAGTCCAGGTCAGACGAACAAGCCACGATCGATCCTTCTGCCCAGGTCAACAGGTCAACAACTATAATTGTATATAGTACTCCCTTCATCCGGAAATACTTGTCATTAAAATAAATAAAAGAAAATGTATCTAGATGTATTTTAGTTCTAAATACATCTATTTTTATCTATTTTGATGATAAGTATTTTCGGACAGAGGGAATAGACAAAAACATCTCACCAACGGACAAAACCAAGCAAGTCGTTGCTGAAGTATGAAACAGTATTTCGAAACGGATCTGAAGCAGATGGGAAGGGGGGTTCACATTCACGTGACCGTGGGAGGGAAACCCGTTCGTTGCACACAAGTTTTCACTATCATCATCAAACTAATCATAGAAGGTTCGTCTCGGATTCGGGTTACTTAAGGTAAACCTGCCCGGTTTAACATGAACCGCACCAGCTTACGGTACCACCAGTCCACTAATATACTTGCATTTGGCGAGTGTGAGCTGGTTGGGGCCAGGAAGAACCACTGAATTGTTCAAAATTGTATTTATTTTGTTGGGTCTCCTCATAGATGGGGCAACCTATGGCCGAAGGACGCAGCTCCTCGTGCCGTCAATCCACTAACATGTGGGCTCGGCCCCATGCGTCAATGAGCCAACGGCAGGGTGCAGTACGGCAGAGGAGCCGACTCGATGGCCGATAGCCAAAGATGCACTTACTGCTGGCCCTTACTCCTCAGCATGTACCACTGTATGTGTTGCGGTCATGTGCGGCCACAGTGCCATTGCACTAGACACAGCGAACACTTTCTGCTTCTGGAATTGATGTATCCCAACCAAAATATTTCCATGTATTGCAGCCATGTGCATTCACTCCTCACGATCTCACGCTACTCAGGGGCTCAGGGCGGGCTCAGCATGTACCCACTGTACTGCGATCATGTGCATTCACAGGACCATCGCACTTGACACAGTCACACAGTGTCCTTTTTTTTTTAAAACAAGGCAAATGACTTGTCATTTTCCTTGATTAAGAAGAAGTGAGAATTGCCCGGTTAATTGACGGAAAACTTGGCTAAAACCGATACAACCCAACTCGTAAAGACATGGGCACCACCGGCCAACCTCGCCATCGACATGGAACATAAGCCACGACGGCACGTACCAACAAATGGCCACACGAACGAACAATTGACAGCTCCGACTTTGACAATAGGCATCGCCAGGGAAATATGCAGGACTTGTGCCGACCGTGCCTCCTGACCACCGAGCGCCTGTCATCGTCACCACCTAGACTCGCTCCACCGTAGCTCCGACTTTAAAGCAACCAGGCAATCCACGGAGAAGCACCTAGGACACGCCGGTAAGATCCGACTACCGAAGTCCGAGCCGCGACCCAAGATCCTCTCGACGCCATCATCGTTGCCAAAAAGAGATCCATGCCCCCGAAACGGCCGCCTCAGCAAACCATGCGGCGAAGATGCCGCCAACCACTAGCCTCTAGTTGTAGTCGGCTCCGAGACGATGCCTCAAGGAGGAAGAAGACGTGAAGACGCCTTCATCGCCAAATCGCGTAGATATGAGGTTTTCCTCCGGAGCCAATGCCATGGGGAGAGGAGAGGAGCAGCACACAGCAGCAACGCTTCCAGTCTCCCGCAAAGGCCGGAGATAGGATTTCTCCCGGTGAAGCTCGACCACCAACTACCCGAACCGGCCGGCCATGAACCCCCGCCCATCAAACCTCGCAGAGCACCAAGGGGAGCACCTCCAACCAGTGCCGACCCCTCGCTGAGACCGCCTGCGCGACCACCAGGCCAGCAGCCACAGCGCTG